TGACCATGTTGGATTTCCTCTTATTTACAGTGCTCAGAGCTTTGCCTGTTTCATCTGAGAGTATACCTTTACTCTGACCTCCTCTCTGCTGGTTTCCTTTCTTCTAGTCTCTCTATTTCACCTGCCCAGTGCTAGAGGTCAGTTGGAGCTTCTCATTCTGAATTTCATGTTTCTTAATTTCTTTCCCATACTTTTTACTTCCTTCATTTTTCTCTCTTAGCTACATAATAGAAAATATCTTCCAGTTTACCACTTTGTTCTTCAGTTTCAGCCTAATGCATACACTAAACTTTCATTTTTGAATATCCGTGGCAATATTTTTTATTTCTATAATTTTTATTTGGTTCTTTTTCAGGCTCTTCTATTTTTCGTACTTTTTTAGAGCCTTCCAGTTTTTTTGTTTTGTTTTTCTAATAATATCCTGTCTGGCATTTGACTTCTGAACCTTCCTCTCTTCCAAAGTCTTGAATATCCCTGTTTTGAAGAGTTTCAGGACATTGTGTTGTCTCTTTCTTGAATTGTGGCACCTTCAGCTTGTTAGATTTGCAGGCATTCCTTTGTGGTGGTTTGTTTCTCATGAAGTTTATAACTTTTCATTAGCTCATCTTCCTCAGGCTGTTTTCCATCTGAGGGCCATGTGCCCTGGGCCTGCTGGCTTCCTGCAGAGCAGTTTTCAGTTTGCTGTTAACAGAAACCCTCAGTGTTCTCTGTGGGACCGATTTCCCTCTTAATCTCTCAGTTGGGGGTTCCTTCCCTGTAGTCATGAGTTCTGATTGCTCAGGCCTGGAGTTACAATTTTTAAAACATTTTTATTATTATATATATTTTTTGATACTGGGAATTGAACTCAGGACCTTGTGCTTTCGAGGCAGGTGACAGCACCGCTGAGCTAAATCCGTGGCTTGGAGTTATAATTTCTTAGGAGGGATTCTTTTCACAGGGATGAGTGCTGAGCTTCCTTTACTGTTTCCCAGGCCTGTGGCTGGAGGTTTTCTGTGTCTGGTGGTTTAGTGTTTGGCAGCTCTTTGCAGCACTCAGCTGTTCACAGACAGTCTAGTTCCAGAGCCTGGCCTCATACTGTCCTGAGAGTCCCGTAAGATTGCAGTAGAGTCTTTTCCCAAGCCCCAAGGGCCTTTGCCCATGACCTTTAGGGTAGCTTCTTGGCACGCATTCTGGTACACCTCCTGCCTTGCTCTTCAGCCCATTCATTGGAACAGCCACTCAAATATCCATTTGTTGAATGGTTTCCTCTTCATTTTTGGTGCTTGGGATTTCCCTTCTAAGCATTCAGTTTGGGCTATTTAAAAATTTTAAACTTATATTTTCATCGGCAGTTCTCCATGTTTAAAGTAAGAAGGGAGCCTTTCCATGTCACCTCAATCACAGTCTTGTTCTGAACATCAAATCACATTGTTTCCTGAATTTACCTACATCTGGTGTTTTCAGATTGAATTCACTTTACACCCTTGTTTTCTCTCTTTCTCTCTCTCAGTCCTCCAGCTCTTTATATATATTTTTTTTCTTTTTTCTTTTCCTGGGTAATAATATTTAATCTAGTAGCTCCCTTCAAATTCCCTGAACTGGGTCCTATACCACAGACTCAGCAGGGGTGGGTTAGTTTCCTGCAGGAAATCACAACACAGCCAGATCCCTGGGCCGCTCAGAGAGCAGTTCCAAGGATGAAGCCAGATAACTGGTCAGAGGTGACGTCCCATTCCAGTAACAGCTGAGTCATTCCCTGGGTCTGTGTGGCAAAGCTGACCTCAGTAAGAAGTGCCTTTGATTTGGTTCTAGTAGATTCCCTGTAATCCAGGTTTCTTTTTGGCAAGCACATTTTCTAGTTCCTAATTACTTAACAGTGATTTTTCCATGGTACAAATGTATCCGCTTATTACTTTTTGCAGGAGTGAAAAGGAAGATATAAAATGTGCTGAGCTTTAGCTGAGCTTCTCACACAGCATTTCTGGTTTTCTCATTTAACTGCAATTACTCAATTTCTCTTTCCCCTTTCCATAACCAACCTGCCAGTGGTGGCAGTGAACACACACCTGAAGTCCTGAGTTGGGGACCAGAGCAGCACAGAGGGTGAGGGAGCTTGGAGGAAGAGTGGATCTATTTACTTCCTTCTAGGTCTGTCCATGTGTCAGATGGGTATAGGCTGGGCCTCAGTTCCTTCTTCCAGTGGGAATGTCATTTCCATTACCATCTCTACGACAGAATGAGGAGGTGACGAAAAGTCAGAGTGGCCTGAGGCATGGGCTTAAAAAGAGCCTGACCTGTCAGAACAGAAGGTTTCATGCAGGCAGATGTGGGGCGGGAGCAAGGAGGGAAGATCTGTGCAGAGCTGACTGTTGCAAGGGCTCCACACCATGTTGTGACTGCAGTAAGTGAGGCGGGGCCTGAGCCCTGCAGGGGAAATGGAGAGCCAGACACTGCCTTCTTGCCCAGGAGGGCAGCTGCCCAGACCTGCCCTGGGGAGCCCCTTGACAGCAGTGAAGCAGTTGCTAAGCCTGTTTCCCTTCCCATGCACATGGCTTTGTTTCCATCTTCTGCTCTAAAAGACCCTTTCTGTGGGCCAGGCTGCCTGCCCACCACCTCTCAGCCTGTCTTCACCCTTTTCCTTCTTTCTGTGTACAGCACCACTGGCCTTCATTGGTCTCCTTGTTGCCACAGGACTGTTGCACATGTTCTTCTTTGACTGCCATTCTCTTCCCTTCCCTTTTATCTCTTGAACCCATTTGCAATGTAGTAATGCCTCCCTTCCTATTTCACTACTTACACATCAGGCTGAAGCTCCTGCAGCTCTGTCACTGGGAGTGAACTTCTTCCAGGGGTGGATGAAGATTTCTTCCTGTGGTCTCCACAGCAGACAGAAGAGAAAATCACCCAATATTTCAAGAGAAAGGCTTGAAACTTATGTACTATTGATGTGCAATACTGTGCTCCATCTTTCCAAGTTTCCAGATACAATTTCCTATTTGAAGATGTTTAGTTTTTAAATGACTTCTATGGTGTTTAGAGGAGCTGTTTGTCTCTTCGGTGTCTACACATGCATGAAGGAGGAGAGAGAATGTTCTCATTCCTGCTCCATTTAGCATTTGTTTGTGTGCCAGCACCTTGATGCTCACTGAGTGGGTTGACAGGAAGAGGTTATAGGTTTCTTTATCACACGGATATGAGAAGCTGTTTTCCTAGAGTAACCTGGCTTCCAGCGCCCTCACTGGACATGTCCATCGTTCCTGTCCACTGGTCCCATGCACCCTCCAAGGCCCACGTCAGGGCTTGCTCCCGCCACAGCAGCCTGCTGTCATCTCCTCGTCCCGTGGACCTTTCATCCCGACCATTCGCTAAGTGGGAGTTGCTGTCTCGCCCATGCTTGGTGCTGGTGTTTGGAGAGGAGGGACTGTTACTGATTGTTCTCTGCCATGCCTGTCCTAGGGTGTGTGGAAGGGCTAGGGAGTGTTTTTTGGTGCCTCCCGGGGCACTCAGTCAGTGTACAACACACTTGATTAAGATTTAAAGATGATGATGGAAAAGTGACTCTCTCTTCTTTCTCTCTAGTTACAAGTTATTTCCTAACTGCGTCCCCTCCTTTGGGTTCCGCCATCTGCTGCCTCTCACAGACAGAGTCGACAGCTTCAATGAGGAGGTTCGGAAACAGAGGGTGTCCCGGAACCGCGATGCCCCTGAGGGAGGCTTTGATGCAGTGCTCCAGGCAGCTGTCTGCAAGGTAACTTTCCTTTCTGGTCAGGCCCTGCTTGAGGAGATGGTAGAGAGCATCAGTGTGGGTGTTGGCCTTTTCTGCAGGAGGTGGTGGATGCTGAGCTGCCACAACTGGTGGCTTCTGTCCACTCTTAAATCAGACGGTGAGCTCAGTGGCATCTTGGGAGATGTATGGCAGCCACATGGCCTGGAGCGGAGTGGACAGAGCTGGTGTGTTTCTCTGGTGTGGGTGTGGCTGTGTGGTGTGGGATACTGTCTTTGCCAGGAGACAGCTGTTCTGTGTTTATACATTTGGCTTTTTTTGCTTCTTTCATGGGAAAAAAGTAAACATCAAGTCACATAGAAGCTTGTAGAGCTTTCTTCCCCAATTTTGGTAAACCTTAAAGATTCCTATTAGGGGAGTCCAGCTATACAAGAGAGCTGTGTAATGTATTTGGTTGCATTTCTGTTTGTTTTTCTTCTGCTCTGTGATACAAGAATCCAGTAGGAGGATGTAGCTATAGGTCGAAAATGAACTCATACTTTGAGAGGTTCCAATCTCAGAAAAATACATAAAGGGCATATTGGTAATAACTTATTCTTAATAATTTTCTACTGTCAAAACAACCCAATTACAATGAAGATTTTAAAAAATCACTTTTTTTTTTTTTTGGTACCGGGGATCAAACTCAGGACCTTGTGCTTGCAAGGCAGGCGTGGTGCCAACTGAGCCAAATCCCCAGCCCTAAAAAAATTACTTTTAAGCTTGCCACCACAGCTGACATTTTTTTATTTATCTTTCTAGCCTTTGTGCGTACACTTAGCATTTTTCATGCTGCCCCTCATGGAGTGTGTGTAATTAGTGGGGTCTTCAGATGAGTTCACTGATAGGGGGGCGTTAGGGATGCTTCTGTTCGTTGAGCAGAAAATGAGGTTGAAGCCCAGTGTGGAGATCGCACACAGCAGCTGCTGCTCACTTACTGTGTGAGCATCAACTTACTTGCCTACTTCTACAGTTTCTGAGCCCAGAGTGCTTGTGTTCAGTGTGTCACACACTCACTTTTCCTCTCTACTCAATCCTGAAGAAGAGTGAGAAGAGAGCCACACTTGTTCTGCCTGAAATAAGAAACCCAAACTGGGAGACAAAGCTGGCTGGAGGAAAGAAGAGACAAAGGGAGCAGCCCTGTCTTGTGGAGCCTGGATGAGGTCTACCATGGGTCTCCCAGTGCTGAGTCCGCCAGCTTCCCCTGGAGCCAAAGGTCACGGGAGCTTCCCATCCAGGGTGGCTGGTGGACAGACTCGCATGGTCTGCCTCACATGATGTTTTTAGCTGTCTGAAAACCAGGCAGAACATAGCTAGAATGTGTTCATCTTTGAATCTTTAAATGTGTTGCAAAATAGATTATGGATTTGATGTGGAAAGAAAAATTATTATTTTTTGACCAGCATTCAGATATTGAATGTAGGAGGCATAGTCTTCACAGACATTCAGCCAAAGTTTGCTTCTTGGCAGAGAACAAATAGTGCAGAGAAAACATAAGATCCACCATGAGAATTTTGTAGATTTTCTCTTGTAGGGGGAAGAAATCATCTTTAAGACTCAGTGGGTGGGGAAGGACCCAATTACCAGCCTAAGCCATATTCTACTGACATTCACTGTTTCAGATGATTCTAGCAGATTTCCTGAAGTCATTGCCCAAAGCCAGTGAGTGATTGTTGCCTGGCAGGCACTTTGTTGGGGAAGTTGTGACCTTACTCGTGTTGAAATTGCCCTGGTCTTTTCCACAAGGAATACATAAAAAGTTCATGATTGCTTAGAAGTGTGCAGTCTTTTGGCGACCAGTTTCTTTCTTCACCCTTTTTCCTATGTGCTGTCAATTTCTATTTAGATTTATATCGAGCTATTTCTTTCTCACCTGAAATCACCCACTAATAGTAAATGTTCTTTCCTGGTTCACTACAGGCTTACTTACTGTAGCAAAAAAATGGACATAGATCATGGACTACTTGATGAGAGCTTATGCAACAGTCATATCATTACAGACATTTACTGATTTGAGTAATACCTAGAACAAATTAAGGGGAGGGTGGAAAGCAGGAAATATTTCCTATTTGGAAATAAGAAAAAGAAAATGAAAAATATTGAAAATAAACCAAAATGATAAAAATAGTTGTCTCAGGTGATAGAATTGTGGGGGTTTTTTCTTGATATTTTAAATATTTATATTTATCCAAATTTCCACAGTGGATACAATTTTTAAAAATATAGAACATTTCAAGCATATAATAATGTATCCATTGTTTATCCTTAATGATTACTACTCGTGGCTGATCTTGTTCATCTGTGTTTAAAGGCACCCTATCCTTTATTATTTAAAGCCAATCTTGGATAGTATTCTGTAAGTCTTGAGTATTCCTTACTTTGTTTTATTCTTCTTCCTGTTTGTCCAGACTAGAAGCTCTTCCACTCTATGCTGCAAGCTCAGCATAGCAGAGGGAGAAGGTGTGGGATCTTGCACACTTGGCCTGGTGCCCCATAAGGGCTGGAGTTGCCTGGACATCCCCTGCAGTGGTGTATGCTCAGCTTCTTAATGCCCTGGGCCCTTGGTTATGCAGTTGATGACAGGTCTGTCTCATAGTGCCATAGGGAGCTCTTTGTTCTGGTTTCATTCTCTTGGGTTTTCCTCAGTTGGACTTCATTATCAGCTTGTAGGACTTAGGCTTAGGGAACATTCACATGACTCACTTTAAATCCCACTGCCATGACCCCTCTGTATTTCTTGGAAAGCTGTTCTTTGCAAAAAGAAGAAACTGCCAGTCCCTACTTAGAATAAGAACCTTCCCCCTATGAGTGGTAGTTTTGAGTTGTTCATTTCCCCCTAGCAGGTCGCTTTGCTGTGAGGGGCAGTTTAGCAGCACCTGCAGCTAAGGGACGCCTCTCTCACCTATGTAGGTGCTTTCTCCAATGTACCTTTCCTGGCTGTATTGGAAGTAGAATGCCCCATCCTTGATTTCTTATCTTTACCAAGGGATCTGTGACTGCACCTGTTTATACATTTTCTTGGTCAGAATAATGGTTTCTTCCACTACCAGTTGTATTGCTCCCCCAGGATGTTCTAAAAGTTGTCTCTAAGTTATTTGTTCTGAAATTTTGCAGGTGGAAGTGTGACAAGAGGTTCAGACTGGAATTATGGCTACTTTTTTATGCTCCCAAAACAGGAAGTGCCTTTGGCCGGTGGAGTACAGAGAGGGCACAGTTGCCAAGGAGCTGTGGGTTCCAAGTTGCCAGTCAACATTTAGCTGTTTTCAGGCTTTCGAGTGAAAGAATTTGCTTGCACATTTGAGCTTGGCTGGGTACTTCCTGGCTGCACAGAATTCTATGGGCTACTTTCTCCCGTCAGCCAGAAAAACAAGATCTATGCAACCCAGTGGATTTCCTTGTTTGTCTTGGCTTCTTGTGCCCACCATTTAGCTTCCGATCATTCAGGGGTTAGACAGACTCTGTTTTAAGCCTGATTCTGTAATTTTGCATTGCATTGAGTGTTAAATTTTTAAAACATTGCCATCCTCAGAAATAGATGAATGTGCGAATCTTAATGCAAACTTGCTTTGTTTGAATAAAACTTTTTTGTGTGCAATTCCTTTGCTAATCTAAAATGGAGACTACAACTCCAGTGGGGGTGGAGGGTGCTGGAGTGACTGCTTCATACTGGCCAGACTCTGCAGGAATAGATTCTGTGGGTCTCTGAAAGCCAGAGTAGTCACTGCCCTTGCTGGACCATCATCCACATGCCAGATGGCTTGTGTGCATTATCATGGTTCTTGTAAGAGTCCTACCATGTGTTGTTGCTGATTTACAGTTGAGGAAACTGATTATCACAGCAATTAATTTCACTTCTCCTTAGTGAGGAGTAGGACCGGGACTTGGACCAAATCTAATTGGTTCTAAAGTTTGTTTCCTTTCTATTACCTGGTGTCTGGGCATGTTGGAAAGTAGCCATAAGTGCAGTGTAGAGCCAAGGGCACTGGATTTAGGGTCACATTGTCCTGCTTCAAGATCTGGGTCTTTGCTGCTGATCTCCACTGGAGGCCATTAAGCTCTCCAGCCTCAGTGCGCTCATCTGGAAAATGCAGGCTTGGAGGGAAGGAGCCAGGATGCCTTCCACTGTACTGATCAGTGCTGCTTTTCGCAAAGGACTCTGTCAGAGCCCTGGGCCCTTAATTTTGATTTTTACCTCCTGGTTCAGGTTTGATCCTCAAAGCCCACAAGGGCTGCTGTAAATGCCCCGAAAGGATGGGACAGTCTCTAGTCCCACATACCGACATAGCCATGAGGGGTTTCCTCCCTGCACCCTTCCCTCCCCCAGTCCCCAGAGTCGATTTAGTGTCTTTTGACTTGTTGCCTGATTCCTCTTAGACCTGAGACTTGTATTGTTTTCCCAGGCACGAGTTGAGAAATGGAGGCAATGGTCTTCCTTTCCTGGAAGGAGGAATCCCCTCCCCATACCTTCACCCTTGTCCTTGGGCCTTGGCATCATCTGCAGGCCATTCTCACATGTACTGTGCCCTAGCCCCATGCACCGTTATTTGTCTTGGCCTCTGGGAGCTGCCCGCTTGCTCCTCCTCTGCCTCAGCACCTCCACCCAGGGTTGTCCTTGTCCTTGTGTTTTAATGAGTGCTTTTCATATCACTCCACTGGTTTCGTCTCTGAGGTGACGTCTCAAGCCTATGACCCATGATTTGCTGTGTTGTGGGCTTCACGGCCCCCAGCCACTTGTTCTCACGTGGGGTGGGACCCGGCCGCAGCACATCTCAGTATGGTCAGCAGGGCCCATGGGAGAGGGTTCAGCTCTTCTTATCCTGTAGAGTAAATCAGCATTGGGAGGCCTTCCACCTTGGCCTTGGGAGGTGTCTGCGCAAGGGGGCAGCTCCCTTCACTGATGACTGCTGGGAGAATCAGCCCGGGGAGAGGAGACTCCTTCTTCCATGGCTGAGCACATTCCATTCCTGGTGAGATCATTGGCTTTT